TTGAATGTAAAACCGAGTTGAGATAGCAACGAGATCACATAAGCACATTCAGAACGAACACTGAAATCTGATGGTTGGAGATAAACAATGGTGAGATATAGGTGTAGCAACATATTCTCTAAAATTTTCATTATTCCATAAATGTTGCATATTAAAACATAATATAAGGCGTGATAGGTGTTAGGTCAATTCTACTCTTGTTCGGGATGTTTCTTACTGGTGGCAATTCTATTTTTGATGGCATAGTCGTAGTAAAATATGTATATAAACATAGAATTTCTAATCATTCGCAAATTGATCGCTACTGAAGTGTTGAAAGATTTTTCGTGTTAATTTAAAATTCATACAATTGTTGTGAACTTACTGTTGGGGAATTTAAGGATAATATTTATGCCCAATATATATTTTTCCTCTCATTTTTTACGCAAGTTAAATAAGAATTGATATAATAAAATATGTATTGCTCTATATCAATTGTTGCTTCTTTCTTAAGAAATAGAAATTATTATACACGTCTAATACAAGATGCAATACCTATGTATGTATACCATTCTAATAACCTCGGATTGGATTCAATCTCGTGATACTGTCTGTTTCATAAACAATGGAGTGAAACTCTTATTTCCACGATTACCATTCGATTCTAATGAAGCCATACTTGGATACCGAATTCATTAACATTGAACTCGACCTATGACTATTTACAGCTGTATTCCTCAATGAAACATTTATCGCGACACGAGAAAACTCGGAGAAGATCCAGTGCCTGTTATTACTTTATTCACGTTGATTCGCGAGACGAAATAAATTCGGACAATTCGTTCCCGCGAGCATGGAATTCCGTTTCTTGACTCCACGCCTAAGCACATCCTTGTTCATCTCTATCTAGCTGGCAAGCGCGCGCGCGGCAATAGTGTAAGTGGCCGACTGCCGTGTGTACGTGCATGCACGAGGTGGCATGTAAATAAGCGATTTCAAGCAACGCCAGGCACGCTGCCGCTACTGAATTATCTCGCGGGTCGATCATGCTTTTGTTGCGTATTACAACGGTGAATCCGGGAGTGAGAGACGCCGAACATCGGCCAGGAAGTAATAGACGAGTGATAGAGTTGAGCGCGGGGAATTTTTATGGGTAAATCGATGTTGCACGAGGAAAGGGCATAGCAGAAAGAGATAGGGGAACGCTCAATGATGCCGCAAGGGGCAGGGAGAGAGAGACAGTTGGAGGGGCGAAGGAGAGAGCGTGATTGTGCCACGGGAAGGAGTGAGAAAAGATTCGATTGGTTGGAGGAGAAGGGAGAATGGACGAAGGAGTGAGAGGGACGAGTTGGTGAAATGTGTATACGCGCGCGCTAGAGCGATAGAGAACGCGAGAGGTAAAGGGCGCTAGAAATCTGGGGCGGGGATAGATCCGGGGGCTTTTGCGCTGTGCACGCGACCTTGAATGCCAGCCAGCCTAGACCTTGCCACAGCTCTTTCGCTCGGCTTGCCTAGTCCAGAGACCGCTTCGCCTGTACATATACATACATACTGTTGTTTCGAGCGGCGGCCTAAATCCGATATCTCGCTTCCTCTTTCTTCTTGCCTCGCCTGTCCCATGGTCTGCGGCGAGCGCGGACCACGTACGATCGCGTCGATTACGTAAAGATGAAAACTCGAATTATCGTCAGCTGTATGCCGAGTAATTTTGCTTAGAGCCGATCTTCGGCTCGGTCGTGGCAATTATTTCTGGAATATAGCAGTTTTGTTTAAAGGATAGACGCGTGTAAGGAAGGAAACATAAATGAGATACGCAAACTTGTGCACGTTAATCGTGATTATGATAGGTTACAGATGTTTCACAGTGACTGAAGAATGTACTAGAATTTGAAACCTTCGATCTGTATGCTTTTCATTACCAGGTTTAAGAAGAAAACATGAATATTATTATAGTAAATTTACATACTATTCAACGCAATTAGTGATTAACACTTCCTGTTTTTCTGTTTTTTCAGTCCTTCGTTAAAGGAATTGTGTAAAGAAGATTCTGGAACAATGTAACTGGGATGTCAAGGAAAAGAACTGAACGCGCAATAGAACATCACGTACGTATTTACCATACAAACATCAAAAGATACCGAAGTGCAGTCTGACTTTCTATTTATACCCTTCTAACGATGAACTCTTACATTTTTTCCTAGGAGCAACCGATTTATCTGATCTCTATCTCAAATGTATAAACATATGTATGTAAATCTGTATCCAAAGAGTAACTACGTATCGGAACAGATAACGTCTCTAGCATTAAATATATACGAACATTTCGTTTTCTCGTTTATGTTTTGATACTTAATTACGCTTTAAACAACAAAAGTAGTAAAAAATAAATATAGTTTCGCCCTACATAACTCAAAATATAGTGACATAACTCAAAAAATGTCAATTTTTATATTTTTGCACAAATATTTTCCATAAATGCAGTATTTTTATCATGTAAAATGGCATATTTTTAACTTTATTAATTTCATACCAGAGAGCAAATCAGACTATATGATCAGTATTTAAGTATTATTCAAATGCAAATTTTAAACTGTATCTCCTATAAAATTTACGTTTTCTGGGTTGTGTCATTATTAAAGCCAAGCAGTGATATGTAGAATGTTTTTTCTATCTAAGATTTGTATCTAATAATCACGGAATCTGAAACTCCTATTTTCAATATTATAGAAATAGTATACAGCTAAAATATGGCGATTGAGGTGCATGATCTTCTTGCTCGCTGGAGCGATCGTGCTGGGTGGGATCATAACGGATCTTTGGTAGCGACCGCGCCTAGAATCCAATGGATCCAACATAACTTCGCTACTTATCCACCTGACTTTTTATGTTTTTGCCAAATTGTTCAATTCTCGAGATCGCGGCGGCATCTGTCTTGAGGATCGTGAGACGCTCGCAATCACGTGACTACAATTGCACCGGTTTTGTACTGGGAAGTACCGATTACATGATCTATTGAAGTTCATGGTAAACAGTTTAAAAGTATCCTACAACCTTCATTTAAGGCGTAATTAAGTCCTAATTTCAAAGTCCTAATTTAACACTAATTTCAAAAAATTATCAAATTCCTTTTTCCATTGTTTTTTAAGAATTAGTTAATATTACCATTATTGTATATTAATTTCTTCTAGATTGTTTATAAAGTTTAAAATTTCTATAAGTAAAACAATATGTGTTAGACTTGTACTTGGCATAATATTCTATTGTTATATATATATATATATGTATATGCATCATTGCAAGTAATATTCTACTGTCGATACTTACTGATTTAAAGATTTGCAACTTAAAATAATATTTAAAATGTACAAATTATAAATATGTAAATAAACATAATAAATTTAAATCTTTTTTAAAAGAAATATAATCAAACATTGCTATATGTAGTTTGATTCGTCCATATTATAGCTATCGTATTTAGCGCTACTGTGAATTTATGCATATAACGTATAGCCGTATATGTATAATTAAATACAATATTGAATTCTATTTCTCCTTTTTTAAATAAAATCAATTTGAATTCATCTCCATTAGAAGTGCAACTTTATTTAATAACTATTTAATAACTATTACATAAAGTTAATATTAATATTTTTTCGGTATTTTTTGGTTTCCCTAATAGAATTTATAAGGATTATAAAGGTATAAGCGAAAAATACCGGTATAATACCGGTTTAAGTCCCTTCTGTTAACATTGTGTGCCGGCGCTGTGGTAGTATTTAAATGTGTGCCGCTGAATGCTTGAGTTTTTATACGGTCGTGTCGCAGCGTGTGTACTTTGAACGGTGTTTCGTTTGTTTAGTGCTTGTTAGAAATTCGTAATCGTATGAATTATTAGTTTGTGATAAACAAAATGTTGGCTAGACAAAACATTAGATATATTTCTAATTACAAATTTCCATCTACAAAACTTAGAAATGTTTTTTGTTTACAGTGCAAGCGTCAATTCTTTTTTCAAGGTAATCATTGAATAAACTGAATTGTGTATTTACCGGCATTTTTTCGTTAGACTGTTTATACAATATATACATGTTAATAATAAGTAAAATACTTGTTAATAATGTCTTGTACCTTTATTAAAATTATATTTCTATGAATTTTTTGATAGTTGTTTTTTATGTATATGTATATACTTCTGTTAGTAGCAAAATGTACAAAGGCATTGTTAGTTTATACATTGCTTTTCTTTACAAGTGCAAAAATATTAAAGTACATATTCTAGAGGTTAGAACAGTACACAAGTTAATATTATTAGGATTGTTTAGGTGCTTGGCATTAACATGTGTATTCTGTAAGTGTAATGCATTTTAGAAAAAATATTCAGGAAGGTCGTTTGCCTCATCTGTTTCAGAATTTGTTCCCTTACACGGTGTAGTTCCCTTATTATTAGATTGTGGACATGTGATATGTGACAAGTGTGCGAAATCATTTGCCAATAAACCTTGCCCTACATGCAACGTAATTTCACAATATGAAGATGACACACCTTCGTTACCTTTAAATATATATGCCTTGGGGTTAATTATTGTATCGAATAACAGACCAATTAATACAGATGATTCACATATTTCTTTTGCTAAATCAGTAAATTCTAAAGTGAAAGAGCAGCACATAAAAGGTCTGTATAATATTAGAAGACAGTAATTTAATTTACATTATTCAAGTTAAAGCAAAGTATTTGTTCTACATTTTCAGATTTGTGTTATGAATGTGGAATTCCAGCAACAGTAAAATGCCCACAATGCAATGCTCTATATTGTAGTATTTGCTATTCCAAGGTATATTTTTTATTGTCAAGCTGCTATTTTCATATATAATTAAACATTCTTTCTGAGAATATTGTTAGCTTTATTTTTATGTGTACAATAAATTTAATCAAGATAGATATATTACTTCATGATATAATATAATATATAGAAGAGAGGTGCTATAGGTAATGAAACTTTGTATTTATGTTATGTTAGATTCATGGAAGAGCACTACAAAACCATTCAAAAATTGTGTTATCTGAGAGCAATTATGAAAGTCTTTTTACTATACCAAGTAGTTGTTCGGACTGGTGTAATGAGCCATTAGGCTACTATTGTGAAAATTGTAATATAGCTGGATGTTCCCATTGTATCTTACGTTTACATCAAAAACATAATTACCAGCCATTAATACAAAAGGTTTGTATTATAAGTAAGTAATAATTTATTGGTGCATCATTTTCAATGAGTAATGTATGTTTATTTTTGTATTTTCCAGAATCAGGAGTTTGTACATGACTTTTATAGTGCCTTCGACCAGGTGTCCCAGAACCTCCAGAGAGTTCAGCAGTCAGAAAAGGTAAGTTTGAGTTAACTTTATATGTTTCTTTAAGGAATAATTGTTACTATACTGCATGCATAGTAATAAAAAATATATATTAAACGATAAATAAATAGTTTTATTCAATATTTGCAACAAAATATTAAGTACAAATATAAAGTTGGAAAATTGATTTTTCGCAATACGTAGTTTTAATCATACATATTATTCCCTCAAAATGGGAAAATTTTCAATTAATTTACTGTCATACTTGTTCCACCTTAAATACAAAATACTGTATTTGAAATACCTCCAACGAGTAAAAGACTATCAGTTGTCTTTCTAATGCATGAAATTGTACAGATAAATGCAGAAATTTTCTACAAGGTAGTAGAGTATATTATTCTGTTATAAATAAATATTGTTCCACATATATATGTTTGTTTCTGGCATTTCTAGCTGCTTTAAAAGTGTTTGAATAGTTAAATTCGATGTTAATAGTTACGTATTTCTTTGAGATACAATAATTTGATTTTTTTAACATACAGATCTTATAGCAAATTTTTCTTATAGAGTATACTAAATATAAAAAAAAAAAATCACACGCAATCCTATAATAAAAATATTGCACATTTTTGAGTTTCATAAAATTCCTTCACATCCGACTATGTGTAAGAAACAACGTATAATCATTCGTTGCTATTTGTAACAAATAATGGCAGCAAGATACGTTCAGTACGTGATAGGCTTAAGGCAGTAACATTTTAACAATATAATTACAATCTATACACGTAGCGATTATTCATCTTCCTTTTGTTGTGTTTGCTGTTTCTCCTTGAGCTTCTCTTTCTCTTCTTGCTGCTTCTTCAACTTTTTCTCCTTCAACTTTGCCTCCATCTCCTTAAACTTGATCTCCAAATACCGATCTACTTCTGGACCGGTGAAGTCTTCCGGAAACTTTGGCATTATTGGCAGAATGTACTTGTACAATCGTTCGTTTAACACGTATAATTGAGTCGTCGTTTCGCATTTTACGTTGAACCACCAGTCGCATGTTAACGCTACTTGACTGAATATAGTACCATTCGGACATAAAAACGATGATTTGCCACCGTTGAGATCGCAGTAGTGCCATACCTGCAAGAAATAACATTATTATCACCGTTAACAGTGGAGAAGTATATTCTTTATACATGTAACCTGTCTTGTGAGTGTAATTGACAACTTCATGTTACGCACAAAAAAAAAAAAAAACGAAAATAAGTTAACAGTGCAAATTAATAATTGCGTGAAGTGTTATGAAAACGTTATTACCTGGCATCCAGTATCCGGATCGCCAAAGAATCCCTTATACCGCTGTTCCTTGCAACTGAAATTCGTATACGGTATTTTAGAATAGGCTGGGTAATCAACATTAGCTTCTCCTTGTGTGGCGCCATATTTTAACGACGTCTGCGGGGCACTTTGTTTCGGGGATGAAACCCTGTTGGGTTCCGTGTAACTGTAAACCGGACTTTTCGTGGTAACCGGTGGCGGAGTGAATCGTTCCTCTTGTAACACGTCGTCTCTGAGGTCCTCCGTGATCGCGTAAGAATGGTCAGTTGGACCTTCATTAGTTTCCGGTCTAACCGTAGGCAGAAACGGTTCTTTCTCCTTCGTCGGGGTTTCATGAACCACAGGAACATAATATTCTACCAGCTTGTTGCTTAAACTGTTTGTGCTGTAACTCGACTGAGGAGGTGGTTTAGGCTTCGTTTCTTCTTCATATGTCATTTTGTAACGTTCAGGATCGTCAGTCAGATATAAAGGATTCGGCGTTGCTTGGAATCGCGTTTCAGTTATCACTTTCGGCCTCGTTTGTTGCCGAACCTTGAAGTTCGTTGCCTTCTGCGGCAATCTAGGTGGCGAGGGTGCCAGTTGCGTCAACGGTGGTGCTTGGATCTGCGGGAATTCTTCTTTCTTCGTGTTATGGAGGATGTTCAGTATCTCTACTAGTGTTTTTAAACTGTTATCTATATTATCTTTGCTCAACATCTCCGGCAGACGTTCGCTCAAATGAAAGCTTTCAGCTATCTGCTGTAGATTCAGGTTTGGATTTCGCGGTGGTTGAGCGAATATAGGGTTTTGTTTTCCTGGAACGGAATCTAGAGCTTGCAGGTTAGAATAAGGAGAAGCTTGTCGATGTCCCTGGACGTCTTTAATCGGGTAATTAAGGGCAACGTTGCTCGTTGGTCTGGCATTATAGTCGAGCAAGTAGTCCTCTCGAATATTGCCCTGGATTGGTTTAGCTGCTTGTTTTCTAGGCGGGTGATCTCTGCCATTTGTCGTGTAAGGTCGTGATAGTCTCACGTTTGTGTAGTACCTGTTCCCGTTGCGAGAGATCTGCTGGCTAGCTACCGTCGATATTTCAGGATACATCGACTGTAGATCGTGGTACAGCTGGTACGGTGTCGAGTACTCGTCGTAACTGATTTTCGTACCGTATCTCACGGGCGTGAAGTACTCGCTGTCTGCTCCCACGTTTCTGGGATCGTACTGCACGGAAGGAACGAATTTCTTGTCTTGATTCTGCACGTTCGTGCGGTAATTGTTCTCCCTTCGTGGCACGGTGTTGATCCTGGTGAACGGTTGTGGAGGTTTCCTTACCAGTGGACTACTTTGATACTCTTTCGCGGAAGTGGTTTGTGGTGATGCTGTCTGTGCATTCACGTAATTGTTCGCTACGTAGAACGTCATGTAGGGTATCAGTCTTCTATACCTTTCTTTGAACTCCTCCAGCGTGATCTCTGGCAACGATTCGTCATCTTCCTCTTCCACCACTACTTTCGTCGGGTTGGAATCCGAGGAAGCTGCGTTACTTTTAGTGGATAACACTGTAACAGAAATAAATTTTCATGAGAAACGCGTGTGGTTACTAAAATTCGCAAGTACGTATCAAGGCAAAAAAAAAGTAGCAGTTTTGTAAATTATACATTTTTGATAATGATATTGCGTTACCAGCAAAGTGTAATATCCGGCAATCTACGCATTGCTTAGGCATTACTAGTACATCTAGTAACTGGGCCGGACTATAACTTTGTTCCTTTTGCAGATAGAACAAAATTGTAGAGGAAAATTTTGCATTGTTTAACAAGCTCTATCATCAAGTAGTGCAAGTTTTTGCAGGAGTGCATCGGTGCAGTTGCAAAGTGTAAATGCATTTGTTTTTTAAATGGAACGCTACAAATTTTTTTACATTAATTGATTCGTCATGACATTCTGAACAAAAAAGTACAATCATATGGGTAAAATGTTAGATTTGTCAGTCAGTTAGATATAACAAAAATTAATCTAACGCCTTACTAGGAAGTATATATTACTTTCGTATACGTTCGGAAAAGTCCGTTTAGCCTTATCACCTCTGTTTAGTAAAGATCTAAATGTTTATGATACGTGACAAAAGGCCCTTCGGTCCCAAGCGGGGTCGTAGACAATATTAGGGCGTTGCGTAGGAGCATTCTCACTCCGTAGATCGTGCTCTTACCATCAAGTAGGAAAGCGAATCTTCCTTGTGCCTAATAAAAGTTTATAGTTTAAAATAAGGATTATTAATTATTTAACAACCAATAACTCCCATAATCCAATATAAAATCATAAAAAACTCAGTACTTTTCGAAATGTGTAACTTTTTTTTTGCCATGATCATTGCGTTCTAAACATTTTTTCGCATATTTTATTGCACTTGATGAAAACGATAAAGATATCCACTTTCTCGTTACTTGTAAAACCCATTGCGATGCGATTGTACACTGACGTGATTTAACACAACTCTGAACACTGTAATGGCTAATAACTGAATCAGGTGTACGTAAGTTAAGCAACATAAACAGTACGCAAGAACACGAGAATTCTGTTCAACTGTAAGTACAATATAACAGCGACGCGACATGACATTTCAACGTTAGTGGCTCTTGAATAAAATTTGAAATATCTCACGAAATATTAATTTTTTTGACATAGTATCGTAACACTTTTTTGTTCAGAATGACACGAGAAATCAACTGATGTAAAGAAATTTGTAGGGTTCCATTTAAAAAACAAGTGCTATTGCACAATGCAAAATTTTCTTCTAGAAGTTTTTTCTCTCTGCAAAAGGAACAAGGTTATAGTCCGGCCCAGTTACTAGATACACCCTGTATATTGCTAATTGGTGAGCAAGTGAAGTATCATCAGAGTTGTAATGCTTCAATTGGAATAATATTATTATTCATTACTTTTACGATGCTGAAACAAATGATGGATTTTGATATTTTCGGTTTGGTAATTTTTCCAAAAGTAACTTTGTTTGCATTTTTTATTATTCATTTAAAGTATTATTAACCTAACTCGAAACTGTCCCGAACTAGTATGCCAATACTTTGCATAAACTTGTGTTTGTAATGTTTACGTTAGTATGAAATAACTTGTTTAAATTTTTACACTTTGAACATGATCTGGATTTAATACTTTGCCGGTAACAATACTTTGTATTTTGAAGAGTATTACATGCAGTAAATAAGATTCTGAAAATTGTTTATATCCTTTACAAGCCTTAGAAAAATCAGTAAACTTTTTTCTAAGGAAAAATTACGTCGAATTGATAAGTTCCTAAAAAAAAGAAACGTATCAAAGATGATGTTAGAGGAAGGAAGCATTTACAGTTTCCAAAAATAGTACAAAACAATTCCGGACGGATAATGAAACCCAGAAAAGACCATCTCGTTAGCCAAGTAAATTGATCGATCCGCACACGAATCACAACCCAGATTCGGCCCGACGCTTCAGAAACAGCCTGCATAAAACACGTCTGAATGGTTTAACGTGGCTGAAGTGTGAGGGGGTGAGTAGTAGCGGCAAGAGAGATCGCGCGTCTGATAAATGTACCGCGAGTTTCTCTAAAATTCAAGTGTTTTCGAGTGTCGCGCGGTCGGGGCGGTTAGAAAAGTACGGGAATCGTGGAACGGTCTCGTAATCAGTGGGCTCTAATTATTACGACGTTCTGCCACGGGGAGATTGTGGGAAAAAGGAAGCAAAGCGAAGAAAAACACACACACACAAGCGGGAGAAAGAGAGAGAAAAAGGTAGGGAAAAGAGGAAAAAAAATCAATTCGACATGATGACGCTTCCTTATAGACACGCGTGATACCATCCTAATCGGCCTTTTAAAAAACCACCAGCGTGCATCGTTATACCGTAACGCGCGTGCTTCTTTCCCCCCTTCTCAATCTCAATCTGTTCCCTCTTGCTGGGATACGTGCGAAGTAATGCGTGTGCCGCACTCCGGCCTGGTGAAATTAAATTAGAAGGAAAATATTCGGAGAGCCGGCCAGCGCTTTTGCACGTGCACCGAGATAGCAAGAATAAAGGTGGTTCTGATATGTGTGCGTGTGCGTGTGCGCACGCATACGTGTGTACACACATTTCCAGCACTCTCAGTGCACGTGAGTGTGTTAGCGTTCGCATGTCTATGCACTCGTGCAGGATATATTCGCTCTGGCACGTTCGAGTGCTGCAACCACTAAAAACGTACCAATCCTACGGCTCCACTCTCTTCTGGCTTGAACCTTCAACCCTACGCGTACAACTACCTTTTCCTGTTATTCCCGTTTTGCTCGATCGTACAGGACGGCTCAATCTTTTGGTATTGCTAGACGTACGCTGCTAACCGGTTCCATCAAATTTTCCTGGGAAACAGACTCCGGTCGATCGATTCCGTTGCCAATTATAGCGTGTTTGGCCAATTATAGTATTTCTTTTTTCCTCTTTTCATTCGAGGGTATTTATGATTCTTTCTGATTTGCGCGTTTCGAACGGGTTATTAGCTGTGGTTAATGGTTCTTGAAGGGTGAGCACGGCAATTTTACACTGGTTTTTTGTGGATGCTTCGTAGAAGAGGAGTAATAATACAGATCTGTGAGGGTGCTTTTAGAGGTTTTTTTGTATGGTATCGTTTAGGAAAAATTGTTCGCTTATTGTGAAGTAGTAAGACTGGGCTGGTATGGGGATGCAGTTCAAGTTAGGAACATTAGAGTAGCAATGAAATTGAATATTATAGTAGCTATGATTACGATTTTTCGAAAGCTACAATATTGTAGGAATTATTTTATTCTGAAATTCCATAGTGATTATGATGATGAGTATTGATTTAAAGTATAAAAACGTCCTGTTATACGATTAATTGAAGACTGAACATAAGAAAAGCTGTGTCAAGAATAAACATCTAAAAAGAAACAATTTTTCAGTTACTAAAATGTTACTTATTAACAAAATATATCAAAATTTATTTTTTACATGTACCACGTTACTTTATATAATCTTACAATATTTTTGTTTTGATATTTTAAAGTCTTATTAATTAACAAAAAAAATAATTTTATATTATAAGAAAAGATGAAGATCTAGTGGCCCTTACAACCTTTTCTATGTCCAGTCTTCAATTTGTTAGATACTTTGTCTCCCAATTAATAACAATTCGACTCTTTAGCTTGATGATTTGCTAAACTCTCATAAGAATCTCTGCATTCTCGTAAACGCTCTTTAAATTTAATTTCTTCAACTCTGATCAATTTTGCATGTTCTAAATTTTTAATGTTCTCTCCTATACACTTTTCAGTTGCCCATAAAAATCTGACAAACCTTCTTTTCCAATGATACAAAATATCCTGTATCAAGTGGTATAGGTAAGGACTAAGAAGTAGTCCATGAATGAACAGGTTTATTTCACTTGTCATCGATAGCTTTCATTGTGTTAAGTTTATTAACACTTTACCGACTGGTAGCCTATTAATCGGCTTTTTGCCGCCGACGCTTACCGACCGGGTAGCCTATTAATCGTTCTGTTATCGCTCTTCGACGATTAATTGGTCAAAGTTTGATTTAACATTTCTACAGGTATAAGAAAAAGCGCGTATATTCCCGCGCGATAGCCTAGAGCCTAAACAGAGTCGGTGTCATCGATGCATCTGTGACCGAGTGACTGGTCGGAAGTACGTAGAATTTTCAACCGCTACCGGTCGATAAAGTGTTAATTGATAAACGTACTGAACAATTTCGTTTAGGAAATTTTTCCTGATACAAGGATATGAGAAGTTTACTTATAATTTCAAACAGACATATTCAAATTCCAATTCATGATAATAAAGTTTAAATTTAATTCCACTTAATTGTGTGTCTTAAAAAAAATATTATTTGTGTCCATTTTAAATCTCCCAACCATCGTCATTAATCTCTGCTAAATATAATACCTCTTCAATCTCAGACTCGTGGCATAGATTCTGGTGAAGATGCGATAAAAACAGTTATATTAGTAACAAAAATTAATTTTAACTTTAACTTTCGATTTATTTTATAAGATTGAGGATTACCAAATCCAATTAATCTATAATACATTAGCTTTTTTTTACTTATTAATACAGTACTAAAACAGTAAATGCTTAGATGCTTAGATGCATAGTTAGCAAGAAACATCATAAGTCAAGAGGTTAAAAATGAAACAAGAATCCTCCTTATGCAAAACGTCCCTTTGTGAAGCAGTCTGTAGAAGACCGTCTTCGCCGTTGAATCTCTTCTGATTCGTCATAGTAGTCGTCGCGGCGCGATGCAAGGGAACGTGTGAGCGGATATAAATCCACTGGTTCGCGAGACTCGCCATGAATTTTTATAAACCGATTATTTAGTGGCGATGTAACAAAGTGCGGGGCGAGGTAGTATCGCTTTCGCGCGAGGGAGGAAACGATAGAAAGGGAGAGAGAACTCGACGGTATCCGAGCGTGGCACATCAAAGGGACCAGTCTCTCTGTTGCACACAGATACACACCGGCCACGACCTGGAAATCCAATTCGATTCTGCATGAAATGAGTCTGGAAACTCTCCGCGTAGCGCGCGCCGCTTTATTAATCCTGTCAGTATGGAACGTGATTGAAAAATCCGCAAAGCGCGTGTGCCACGACCCTCCCCCTCCCCCCACGCCCTCAACGCCGTTTCCCTAACTCTCTATCCCTCTAAAGAGGTGCTCGCCCTGA